GGTGACTTGGTGCTAGGAAAAGCCAGGCCGTGGTGCCCTCAGAGTGACCGAATGCAAATCCACTGGCTCCGTCCTCCCCGCCCACCCCTGCGGCCCCTAAGCTCAGCTGCTGTGCAGCTGTGCAGCTGTTCTGCCTGGAATTCCCACGCTCACGCCCGCTTGGCCAGATAGTCCTTCCTTTACCCTCCCTTCTTTGGTCCCTTCCACTGACAGTCACCGAGCACTTGCCACCCTCCAAGTACGACTCCAGGCGTTGAATAGACAGCAGCAAAGGAGAGAGGGCCACCGATGGTTTGGCCTGATTGTGCTGCTAGAAGCTTCGGGATGAGGCCTGGGCCACGGACGGGCGGGGTGCCATTACTGAGGTGGGGACGGGCAGGGACAGGGCAGAGGTTCTGTCTGTCCCTGGCGCATTCATGCCTTTTACAGGTCTGTGTGAGAGCATCAGGTTCCCACCAGGTACAGAGGAGTCAGACTCAGGGCGGCACCCCGTTGGGGTCCCTGATAAGCAGGACATTTTGAAAGCCATGGGGCTGACAGGATCCCCCGTGGTACGTGGAGAGAAGAGGGGAGCCTGGGCCCCGCCCTGGGACACATCCCCGGTTCTCAAGGAAGCTGGTGGGTGGGCCCACACTCGGGCAGGCTCTGTCCAGTGCAGACGGGCAAGCGGGGAAGGTGGGCACGCCAGCAGGGGCTGCTCCACTGGGTGGAAGAACGCCCTGTAGAGAGGCCCCTGTCTGAGTCAAGTGTGGGCGGTTAGGCAGCAGCTGTGGCTTGGCAAGGGAGAGGAGGCCAGGTGTGGCCAGGCAGGTGGGAACGCAGGCCCTGGCAGCGTCTCTGAGCACACTGAGGGTGGTGACACCTGAGGTGGGAGAGGCCTTTCCTGGTGGCCCTTGTGCTTGGGAGCTTCCCCTGCTCCATGTGCCCGCCCAGTCCCTCACCGGGGCTTGCTAGCTGAACGTGGGTGGTCTTTGCTGTCCTGCAAACACTGGGGGAGTGCCCGGTCAGGTCTTTTATTGCCATGCCGGGTCTTCGCTGATCTCTGTGGTTCTCTAACTGATTCTTAGCTAGTTTGTTAGCGTGTCCTGTCACCTCTAAGCAAAACTGGAAGCGCCAACATGGGCCATAGCCTAGGCTGGCTGCTCCCCCTTGACCACTGAGCATGAAGGGCAGGCGCTCCTTGGGTATTGATAGGCAAGCGCTTTCCCCTAAGTGTCTGGGTTCCCGTGGAAAATCCTTTGCCTCTGTCTTGCCCAGTAGTACAGCCTCTTAGAATTGATTTCTTGACCTCACGATAAACTTCAGGCTTCACTTCAAACCACTGAGTAGCTGCCAAACTACGATCCACGTGGGGTTGCAGGCAGGTCAAGCCAAGTCGTAGTTCCAACCTTCAGCTCTGACTGAAACCTCACGAGAATGGAAATAGCGTTAGGAATAGCGTCACAGTCATCTTTGTACCGTCAGGACTCCCGGACCATCCGCTCACAGCAGGTGCTTGGTTAACGCTTCTTACCTGGAAGAATGAGGTGCTAGCATACAGAAACCCTCTGCAGTGATTGGTCAGAAAAAACAAAAGTGTATTTGTTTTCAGATTTTGCCAGTTTCCACAAGAAATTGTTCTTCAAATGGTGGAGAGATGTCGAATAAGAAAACTACAGTTGCTTGCTCACCAATATATGATTGCAAGTAAAATTGAGTTCTACATTAGCGAAAGCTTGCCTGAGTATTTTGTACCATATCAAGGAGAGCGGTTTCGAAGACTTGGGTAAGAATGAAATTTAGAATTTACATCACCTTTTAGACTGATTCTATCTCAGAGCTCTTAAAAGTTAACGAATTGTTCCTTGCTTTGGTCCTACGTTACATACTTTGGTTCAGTTCAGGAATACACAGTTGCCTCATACTGCAAACGCTTAATAAGCAGCATTATCATCTCTGTGAATTCTGCTGTTCAACTCTGCTGTTCGGATTCTGACTCCTGGGGTTCGTTCCCCGGTTTTGACGCCAGACTTAGTTTTGTTGGTGCCTTCTGAGTGTAGGGCAGCGGGCAGCCTTGCTGAACAGCACATTTTCAAGTCAGCACTTTCTTCCACCGTGTCTTTTCTTTCAGGTATGTGTCTCTCTGTGATAACGAAAAGACGGGTTGCAAAGCCCGGGAACTAAAATCAGTTTATGTAGATGCAGTCGGGCAATTTCTTAAACTGATTTTTCACCAAAACCATGTCAACAAATACAACATATACAATCAGGTAAGATGAGTCAGCTTCCCTTTGATTCTGCTGCCCACCCTCTTTGTAGGGTTACGCAGTCATTTATCTTTTCTTAGATGTGTTTTCAAGATTGTCTGGGAAGAGATGATCTTTTCTGGGAAAAGGTTGAGCTCTCTGAGCTGTGCTGTCCGACACAGCAGCCTCTGGGCACATGCAGCTCTTGCCCAGCAGGAACGGGCCCAGTGCCCGTTGAGAGCTGCTGCCAGCGTCACCTGACAACGGACTTCAGACTCAGTACAAAAGCATATAAAAGTTCATTAAAATTTTTATATCAGTTACAGATGATGAAGCAATAACATTTTAGATATGTTGTGTTAAACTGTTATTAAAATAGATTTCACCTGTTTCTTTTTGATTTTTTTTTAATGGGCCTACTTAGAAAACTTAAAATGACAAATGTGGTTCAAGTGCCATTTGTGTTGGACTGTGTCAATCTAGAAAACCCTCTAAACCTTCACAAGACACATCATGCCCTGGTGAAATCGGGCACACGTGTAATATGCATGTAATCCCAAATCTCTCCAGCTCCAAACTGCTCGTTCTTAAGCTCTTCCTCCCTCCCTTTCTTTCTTCCCCCCATGTGATTAATGTAATAGAAATCAACTGTGTCCAGGGAAATCTTGCTGATTAGCAAATATTTACAATCTCCCTGCCCCCTCCAAGAGGAATGCAAGCATGCCAACAAATCAGATTCGTAGAGCAAGCGCGTGAGTTGGAGGAGAGCTCTCAGCTGTGCTGCGTGGTCCATGGCAGCAGCATCGCTTGACAGGAAACTGCAAGACTGGGTCCTACCCTCTGTTCCTCCCTCCCTCCCCCACCACCATGTCTTTACCAGCAACGGCCTGGTTGCCTAGTTAGCCCACCATGGTTCTCAAGGAAAGAGGGAGGAATGGGAAAATAACTTCCCCCCTCAGGTGAGAAACACCGACTTGGATAAACTGACCTATGTTAATTTAGCTTTTAATTTCACTGTCTAATTTCCAAGATCACATAAATATGACCTCCATACTTAATCTTGAGTAGACGGTTTATCACGAGGCTATGTTAAAACTTTGGGGGTTTTTAGCTATTATTGTTTTAACATCCTTTAAATGGTTAAAATAGCCAATTGGTTCAGCATTAGAATATTAGCTTACATAAATAAAAAACTAATAATTCTAT